TTGAGATTTTGTGCTATTTTGATTCTATAACATGTTTTCTTTCAGGCTTTTGGAAGGAAAACATACACAATGCACATTTAAGTNCTGGAAATGGAAAAACAGGTTTATTACTTATGGATTATCAGAAATCATTTCAAAGGGACACAGACACATTGGATTAACCTATGGATTAACTTCAGCAGCGTTTTTATAGTTGTAATAGCATTGAAGACCACTTTTGACCAGACAATGCCCAAGGTAGGCCATGTTGCCGGTTTTAGCTACCTTGCCCCACATATTCTGATGTCTGTTCTTGTTATTATCTACCGCGAGTTCTTATCATAGAGTGATGATGTATGTACCCATCAATTCTGTGCCTTCTCGTGATGCTAGTCGATATGTTGGATGTGCAGAAAAGATAAATAATAAGGGTTTTATGAGTGAGTTTCTGTGCAGTAATCTGTTAGCATTTTTCGCTCGTGGCTAATTCAGAGGCTCAGCGTTAACATTGTGGGTGGAAAAAAAAGAAAAACAAAAAAAGATCAGTTAGCTGAGTTTCTTCCCGTTACATGGACATAACACATTCATAGTTTATTACATCTTAAGAAGCCCTCAGACACTTTTGCTTGCAGATGTTGGGATTTTGGCTCCTTCGGTGGGTCCGTGGGGTTTAAGAGGTTTTTTAATAAAAAGTTGAAAATTATTAGCATCAAAAGTTGAGAAAGTACTCATTATACAAAATGATACATTTTTGGACCGATATATTACATACTACATACATATTACATAATATACATATTGTTGGGAAAATACTGAATGTGCTCTTCCAATATCAGAGTAGCACATGATAACAAAGGCCCTACGTAGCTGTGTACGTAACAGGATGTATGATTACCTAGAAGAGCGTCAGGACTGTTTTAGGCATACGATAGCTATGTGATTAACATGAAGATTCAGCCTCTATGGAGATAGACATATGACTGTCATGTTTATTGCTTACGCAGGCCTTAGCTAATCTGAACTGAACATTGAATACTGCTTTGAACCGGCATTCCTCCATCTTGTGACTGTGTAACTCCCTCTCTTGTATATCAGCATGTCAAGGACACTGTTCTGGGAACTATTTGTCCCAGCAGCTCTGTATGTGATGAGTTAAAAACAAAATGGGAAGTAAAAAGTGCAATATTTAGCTCTGAGATGTAGTTGAGAGGATGTTATGTTTTACTAGAATAAAATGTAAAAACCCAAGTAAAATACCTCAAAATTGCACTATATTACTGAGTAAATGTACTTCGTTACATTCCAGCACTGTAAAGCTGCTGCTGTAGATTATTTTTGATGTTCCAGTCCTTCTCTCTATGTTTTTATTCCAATATTAGATTTAAAACAAAGATTTGGATCACTTGTTATTTACTGAAATTGGAGGATCCCGATATGTTTGACCACTAGGTGGCAGCAGAAGTCCATAATAAAGCAGGAAGTGATTCTGAGAGAATGTCATGGATGGAAGCTCTCAATACGTTGTTATTAAGTAAGATTAGCATTTTGGTATTACTACTTTTACATCAGTAAAGAATTTTGCAAACATTTAAGTGTTTTCACAGAAAATGGTTAACTGTAAATTTGATTCAAAAACACTATGATTTTGGGAGATTTACTGAAGCTAGATATGAGCTATAGTTGAATGCACGTTTTTGTTGATGTTGTGCCCATCTTTTACATTGGCATTACTTTAAAAACTGATAAACTGACTAGTGTGGCCATGAAGAGTGATTACTGTCGGTGTCATTAATACCGGGGACATGACCCAACCACTTTTTGAAATGGCTAATTGTGTTCGCAACACTTTTTAAAAGTATGATTTGTTAAAAATAAATTAAATAAATGTGGATATAATAAATATAATATAACAAAATTTTTTGGAGAAGAAACTCATTTGCATTTTTCTAAGGCCCATTTCCAAACCGCCCCCTACACCCTATCCCTACACCAGTGACGTACGGTGAGCTTCATGGCTGGTGAGGCACTGACTCTTTCAGAGTCAGATTTACAAATATTATACTTTGACCTTAATCAAAATATTCGGTTATTTTCAAAAGCTTTTTTAGTCTGATGCTTCGATTCATTTTAAACAGACCGTTCAACAAAAGGATACCCAAAATCTAAATATTGGATTGTTCTTTCTTAGTAAGATCCCATTTTCATGACAATTGTGGTCTTCTTGACTTGAAGATTAAGTCCATGCTCTCCTTCTGGACAACAATCTATTCGTTTTTTGTAAAAGTCCTCCTTATCTTCCTGTAGTTTCAAAAGTCTAGTTTGTTGTTTATGTCTACCGTCTCTGCGTAGAATAACAGTAGCAACAAGAACCTGTGGGCTCACGTGCGCCCCCTTCAGTGCGGCAGAGGTTATGGCTGCCTCTCCTGCTGCTTTTTTCATTGCCGTTATATGATGAGACCAGCGAGCCTAAATATCATATATACGTTAAATAAGTTATTTAGAGACTATGGATGGCGAGGATAAATTTAATAAAGGGATCTACAAACATTACATTGGTGACCTACAGTGAGATGGTCAGCCAATTTCTGTGGGGTGACACATTCTGAGGTGAGGCAGAGCTCATCTGTGCCTCACCTCACCCCACAGTAACTGGCTTGAGCGCGCTCACAAAATAAGTGCCCGCGCTAAATTAGTGCCCGCGCTCCAGCAAGTTACTGTGGGCTTACGAGAGGCAGAGCTCGTCCCTGC